GGGGCTCCTCCTGACGTGGGGAGGGGACGAGAACAACGTGGAGCAGCGCCCAGCTTCCTGACACTGGCGTGGGGGTGATGGTGCCAGTGCCTTACTGAGCTGCCTGCTGTGTGTGGTGGTGCTGGGCATGCGCTCAGGTCCACGTGGACACACCAGGGCACTGGGCGTGGGCTCGGGTCCACGTGGACACCCCAGGGCGCTGGGCGTGGGCTCGGGTCCACGTGGACACCCCAGGGCGCTGGGCATGGGCTCGGGTCCACGTGGACACACCAGGGCGCTGGGCGTGGGCTCGGGTCCACGTGGACACCCCAGGGCACTGGGTGTGGGCTCAGGTCCACGTGGACATACCAGGGCGCTGGACGTGGGCTCGGGTCCACGTGTACACACCAGGGTGCTCGGCGTGCGCTTGGGTCCACGTGGACACACCAGGGCGCTGGGTGTGTGCTCGGGTCCATGTGGACACACAGGAGTGTGGGTGTGGTTTTGTGTCCCTCGTGGACACACTATTAGTTGTGTTGGGACCTCTGAGAAACAGCATTGGCACCTTGGGGACCGAAGGCTGCACCAGGGCTGCATGGACACTGGGCGGTGGTGGCTGGAGTGGGGAGCTCTGCCTTGAGTCCCTCCAGGCATCTTGGTGTGAGGGGACCCTGTCATGGGTGCGCAGAGCTGTGTCCTGGATCAGGGGGCCTGGTGGTGGAGGCTGGGCTGGGTGGGCCCTTGGGAGCTGGACCGGGCTCCTGGCCGGGTCCATGCTCCAGTCCTGCCCCCTCACTGGGCAGCTCCCCTGTGGGGCATATGGTCCTCTCTCACCTCCTGCTGTTCTTTCCCACTTCCGCTCTCCCCCTAGCCCTTCACAATGCTTTCTGCGCTGCCCATGTGCTGGTTCCGCAAGGCCTACCCCCCACCCCCACCCCAAGAAAACCAGAAGGTCCTGGTGCTGACATCCTGGGCCCAGCTGAGGCTCTGAGTCTGGCCCATCCCCAGACTCCCAACCCCAAAGCTGAGGGGTAGCACCTCCTTGTCTAAATGTACACCCTTTTGTTCCAAGTGGTGATACCCCAGCAAGAAGCCCTGAGGCAGGACTGATGGGCCAGGGACCCAATTCACTCTCAGCTCACAGCCATGAGAGACCCGTAAAGGCCTTGACTCTGCTCGGTGACCCTTGGGCCTGGCCCGGGGCCTGAATCGAGGTGCTCCCCTAGAGCCCACACTCCATACCCATTCCATTCCTCACATAGAGAAAGCAGACAGCTAACCTGGCCGTGCAGCCCCCCAGCAGAACCTGCAACGTAACCTGCCTCCACCCCAGGCCCTCCCCAGCTCCTGACCCTGACCTCAGAGCTTTCCAAACACCGGAAGGAATGAAATAGTATGTTTCCCATCATTGGAGTCAAGTTCTCTCCCCTCAGCCACGTGGCCCTTCAGTCAGTCTGGAATTCCCTCACCCAGCTGTCTCTAAGACTCTCAGCACGATTCTAGAGAGATTCACCCCACCCCCCGAAAACCGAATGATCTGTGGAAAATAACACATTCATAAATAACCAGTGGGTAGAAGAGAAAATCACAAGGACAATCAGAAAAGACCTTGAGACGCATGAATAAACCCCACAACACACCACAACCTCTGGGATCAGCAAAAGCTGACCAGCTTTTGCCCAGAGGGAAATTCATAGCCATAAGTTCTAGAGTCAAAACAGAAAGATCTCAGATCGGGAATCTGACTTTATACTGTAAGGAAGTGGGACAAAGAAGAGCAAACTGAATTCAAATCAGCAGAAGGAAGGGAATAATAGACACTAGAGCAGAGATAAATACAATAGAGGTGATCACTAATTAGCTGCTGATGTATGAACCGGGACAACCCTCGAATCTCTTTATGCCTCAGTTTCCTTATTTCGTAAAATAGAAACAGTCATGTTCCCTCCAATGTGTGTGAAAGTGCTGTGTAAACTAGGAGGCATTGTTAAACTTCCTTTACGCCAGACACATTTTCTGTTCTAAACAAACTGTGAATAATCGTAAAACACGTGCCTGCCCTTTGGCGTAGAGCGCAACAGAGTATGTGCTCAATAAACGTCGCCTGTTTCAAAAAAGAAAAATTAAAAAATAGAGAAAACGGATGAGATCAAAGTTGGTTCTTCAAAAAGATTGACAAAATTGGCTAACTGTTAGCTAGACTAAGAGAAAAAGAGAGAGGACTAACACAGTCCTGGAAGTCCTAGCCAGAGCGATTAGGCAAGAAAAGAAAGAAAAGCACTCACATTGGAAACAAAGAAGTAATACTCCCTCCATGCAGATGACATGAGGTAGTTAAGACCCCAAAGTGTCCACGGAAAGTTGCTGGAGCTAGTAAGCAATTTCAGCCAAGTTGCAGGACACAAGATCAACACAAGGAATCAGTTGTATTTCTGTACATACGCAGTGAACAGCCTGAATATAAAGCTAAGGAAACAATCCCATTTACAATAGCATAAAAAATACTTAGGGAAAAATTCGACCACGGAGCACACGATATGTGCCCTGAAAACCGTAAAACATTCCCGGGAGGAATTAAAGAAGAATGGAAAGACATCCTGCGTTCAGATTGGATGCTGCTACTAATGTTAAAATGGTAACACATCTTAACGTGCTCTCCAGATTCAATGCAATCTCTATCCGAAGTCCAGTGGCCGTTTTTGCAGAAATGGAGAAAACTATTTTAATATTTGTGTGGGATTTCGCAACTGTTTTCTTTTTATTTCTCAGTGGAAAACTGCAGAGCTGGGCTGGGAGGACACAGGGTCTCTGGCCACTGCCCGTGCCGCCCAGCCCTCCCCGAGGGTCCAGCAAGACATGGTGCGCTCTGTTCTGACAGCTTACGCAGCATGCCCTGGCAGCACGTGGCCTTTTGGGGCGCTTCCCTCTCAGGGAGTCCCAGGAGCTAAATTCCTGTTGCTGTTGGTAAAGCCCAGGTGACTTTCCAGTCTTGGGAGTGGGGTCAAGGATGCAGGAAAAGGACGCCTGTTGCGGGGCCGGTTGGAAGATCCCCACTGATGAGGGGGCTTCCGGTTGAGGAGGCTGAGGGCAGAGGCTGCAGGGCCTGGAGCGTGGAGGGCAGAATGTGAGCCCTGGGGGCCTGGGACGAAAGTCTCTGGTCCCTGACGGCTCCCCCCAGCCTTTGGGGTCCCCACGATCAGCCTCTGGTCTCTCTGGAGAAGGCCCAGGCCCATCACATTCGCCGCCAGCCCCCGGCCAGGCCGGGCCGAGAGAGCAGACTGTGCTGGTGATGGGGGGAGCCGGAAGCAGACGCCCCCGCCCTCCGACATCTGCACCCGTGGCGGGTGTGCGTGCCGGGACGGGGTGGCGACGGGCAGGCTGGTAACCGAGGGAGCTACTGGGGTCACAGCGCTACGTGGATGCCCCAGTGTCAAGGCCCTTCGTACTAAAGGAAATGGACGCTGGGGCGGGGGTGTGGCAGTGGCGTCCGGCCAGCACCAGAAGCGGCCAGCTTCCCCCAGTGACCTGCGGGTGTGACAGCGCGGCTGGGGCAGTCCCCACCCCAGGCCCCAGGTCACGGAGCCCCACGGTGTTGGGCGCCCAGCCGGGTCACGTGCATTTTGAAGCTGTCAGAGAAAAACAGAGCGAGCTCCACAGCTCCACCCCAGTCTTCAAGCAACCAGGCAGCGCTTCAATCAATTTCAGACCCGCAAATGCATTTTGAGAGTGATTTTTAAACCCAGGGGACCTGGGGCCTCCCTGGCAGGAGACGAGATGATGAAATCCCGCTTCCCTGGCCCAAGTCACTGTGAAAGCGCCACTGCCCCTGGTTGCCACATGGCAACGCGTCTGCTCCACCTGAAAATCAAATAGTGTCGGAAGCCTGGGGGCGGGGACGGGGTGGTGTTGCGGGGGTCGCTATCCACTTAAATACCACAGGGCGCTTTTTAATCTGCCTCAGAATGGCCGCTCTGCCGGGCTGTGGGCTTACTGAGCGCTGGTCCACGTCCCTCCAAGTGCAAAGCCAGACAGAGCTCGGTCCGAGGGGCCGGGTGTCCCTGGTGCCCCCCGCATGGGCCGCAACCTCACAGCGGCAGCAGCTGCCTTTCCCAGGGACCACCTGGTTGGGATCGTCTCAGGAATCCCAGGCAAAAGGCTCCCAAACGCCAAGGGTCCCCCTCCCCGCCCCCAGCCCCAGTGTCCAGGGCGACCTCTGGCCGAGCTGCACATCACCACCAGCGGGCACCCTGGGGGAGCTCGGTGGGCAGCCAAGGCTTATGCTCTCCGAGCTCAGGTGACGTCCTGGAGATGGTGGCAGCCGGATGGCTTTGGGCAGCTGGTGCCCAGGCTCAGGGCCACGTAGGCCGATCTGAGCCTGGCTCTTGCCGACGGCTGATTTGGGTTCAGTCTTGGCTCAGAAAATTGAAGGTCAGAGCCCAGCAAAACCCTGATTGCCACAGATGGCTGCCCAGTGCTGGGGCAGGTGCGTCCTTGCCTAAAGGAGCCGAGATCGCTCCTTGGCGTGAAGTGAGATGCACTCCTGCTGTGGCCCCGGCAGGCTGGTGCCACAGCGTCTCCCTGGCTCAGATGCCGGCAGGGGGTCTGGGGCTCCCATCGGCCCCAGGCCTGCTCCGACCACGTCCACCTCGAGCCTGCGCGGCCCAAGGAGGCATTGGGGACAACGGGCTGGCGGGGGCCTCCGAACCTGTGGCCGAGCCTCGCGGTCACCTTGAGACCAGGCCCCCCCTTAGCTCTCTGAGACCCGTGAATAGACCAAAGCCCAGACCAGGCTGCGGACCCGCCACGGAGCCATCCCTCCCCATGCCCACCCAGCATGGTGCCGGGGTTCTCCCCGCGGGAACTCAGCGGTACCAGAGGGCAGTCACCCCGCACCAGAGCCCCACCCTGCCCCTGGCCACCTGTGCCACTGGATCATCCTCAGGCCCCAAGAGCCCCAGAGGGAGGTCCAGGGCCGGGGTCTCCTGGAGCCTGGCGGGGGGGCGGCCAGGTGCACTCAGTACCTGAGCAGGGGCTGCCTGGGGTGCGGTGGCTGGTCTGCCCCCGGGCACAGCGGGGCCTTCCTGGTCACCTGCTTGTAGATGTTCCTGGCGGCAACTCCGATCCACAGCATGGTGGAGAGTGTGGAGTAGTGCAGCACGATGCCCACCTGGGGGGGGGAGAGCGAGTGAGCCAGCCATCCCCAGCTCTGCCTCCGCCAGCGCACGTTCCCCCGAGTCCGAGCCCCTCCCCCTTGCATCCTCAGGAGGTGGTGACAGGAAGTGGGACTGGCAGGGGGCACTGGGGTCCTCGGGGCAGATGCCACCCTTCACAGGGGCTGGAGCTCAAGGGAGCCACGTGGGCTGCCAGGACCCTTGAACGGTCAGCATGGCCGTCCTGCAGAGAGGTGTGTGAACGACACCCTGGGCACGGTCCTAGTGGCGAGCACAGCCTCCCGCACGTGGGCCGGGTGCACACGTCTGTGTGGTTGGCATGGCTCAGCCCCACTGGCGCCCACCAAAGGAAGGGAGGGGCGACGGCGCAGCGGGGTCTCCCGGGATTCGGTGTTTGCGGCTCGCGGGTGAGATACAGCGCTTGGGGTCAGAGGCTGAAGTGCACTCCCTGCCAGTCGGAGTCGCTCATTACTGTGGCAATAATCTGCCTTAGCTGATTACGTATTCCACACCCCGTCATCTCCATCCGCTTCTGTAAAATGAGTTGCCTTTGAAGTAATAACCTGACATTTCGCAATGACAAGTAAAACATCGCTGTAATTGTAAGGATGTCAACGTTTAAGGAACACAGCGATTCTGGGAATAAAGGTAACGTCGCACCATTATAACGATTTATCAACTCCAGGGTTCAGCCTTTACTTATGAGAAGGCTCCGTGATAATGGTGAGAACGCCGTGGGGTGGTGGGAAACTCCCCGGGCTGTGTTTACGGTTTCAGGTGGCTCCCTGCAGGGGGGAGAGCCCAGCCTTTCCCTCCGCCTGGCTTGGGCCTCGTGGTGGGGCCGTGTGCGCCTGGGGCCTTGAGCTCACGGCCTCACCCCAGCCTGGCTGAGAGGAGGAAGCATGAGGACCTGAGGGGCTAGAACTCCCTGCACCAGAAACAGGAGGAAAGGGGACCACGTGGGCCTGGCCCTCGACTGCAGGACAGCAGAGTGGCTCTCATCACGTGTGAGTAGAAACAGTCAGAGACACGTCCTTAGAAGGAACGCCACCCTCGGCCTCTGGAGCTGGTCCCAGGCCGGTAAGAGGACCCGGAACCCAGAGTGGGGGCAGGGAGGCAGCAGAGCCAGGTCTGCCCTTCACCCGTCTGCCCCGAGCGTCGCCTGGACTGTGAAAGTTTGTGGGTGATGAGAAGGTGTAAACGGCAGGACTCCGTCTGCCAGACACCAGCTTCAGGCTGGACGCATGGAGCGGTCGCAGGGTCGTTACCCTGGCGTCCAGACGGCCCCTCTGCCATGCGGGCCGCCGCCCGTGCTTCCGGACCCAGGGCTGGTGCGGATGCACAGGGATTAGCGGGGCCCGCAGCGGCCGCCCGTGCCCATGATGTCAGGGAGCCCTTCAGTGAGGCTCGCAGCCATGGTTTTGTCGCCATAACAACCGTCTGTTCCCTCCAGCCATCCTGAGCCACTCTCGTTCCTCATGTCTCTCTAACACATTTCCCTGTGACACCTGGATGAGGAGGGTTGGCTGCAGGGTCTGTGTCAGGCCTCGGGTGGTGGTGAGCTGTTGCTGTTGCGGTGCGGGCAGGCTGGCCGCCGGCCGGAGCAAATCCACATTTATGCTAATGACTCGGCTTGTGTGATCACGGAGGCTGAGACCCAGAATTTGCAGCTGGCGGGACAGCCGACTGTGCGGTTTCGGTCTGAGCCCGGATCCAAAGGAGAGAGACTGAGGTCCCAGCCCCAGGACACGCAGGGGTCTCTCTTACTCAGACTTTTCTTCTGTCCAGGCCCCCGTGGAGTGGATGAGGCCAGTGTTGGGGAGGACAGTCTGCTTTCCTCGGGCCACGGCTCGAATGTTCACCTCACGCAGAAACACGCTCACAGTTGCGCGCAGAAAGAGGTTTGACCAAAAAGATGTTTGCACCATGGCTGGTCGGCTCGACACAGGATGTCAGCCTTCACACCTTCCAACCGTCCTGGTCCTGGGCCATGTCCCCTGGGCTCTCTCTCCTCCAGCGAGCGGCGGCCCCATGGCTGTGGCCACCCAGCCCCGCACCTGCTCTCTCTCCTCTGGGCGCTCGGTGGGTGACATTCAGCCCGTGTGTAGCTGGCCGTCCTGCTGGAATCTTGTTCTCACTGCCCCAGACCTGGCCTACGGCTCGTCTGTGAGAGAAAGCAAGTTCCTGATCCCTTCTGGAAACGTGGTTGGGAAGCCAGGCCAGCATGGACTCCAGAACCGAGGTTGCTCCCCGACAGGGCCATGAGGTTGTCACTACGAGGGGACCGAGCGTGTCTCACGCCAGCAGGACCTCTGCAGATCCTGCCTCTCCAGACCCCCCAGGCCTGTCCGCCCCCATCCACCACACACTTCGGGGTCCACCCGACTGCACCGGCCAGGCCCCGGCTGCCACAAGGACGCCTGGCCCCCAGAGCCTCTGTCTGGGCTGGCAGTCTTGGGGTGGGCTCCCGGTTGGGGGAGGTGGGGCTCCCAGGCCTGTAAGGGCCGTGATGACCTGAGGGGCTGGCTGCACCGCCAGGTCCCAGGGCTCCCGCTGCAGGGTCCCGGCGTGCGGAGCGTTGGTGGCAAAGTGTGGAATGAAGATCGCAATGCATATCTGCTTCCAGACGGCGCCACGTCTCAGCAGGTGTTCGCAGCGGACGGTAAACTGGATTTCCCGGGGCTCTCCCAGGGGGTGTTTCCACGCTATCAAGAGGCTTCCGGAAGCGTGTCTCCCCCTCTGCGTGGTTTTCAGGGACGTGCTGGTGACTTTTCTGCTGGGGTCCAGGAACAGGTGGCAGAATTGGCTTCCCAATGGGATGGTTGGCCTTAACATGGATTTGCAGAAAAGTGATCTCTCTTCTGTATAGAGGAGCGTGGGGAGACTGGGCCACAGGGCCCCCGGGTCCTGTCTCATGGGTCTGGCACCCTGTTTGCAGGGGGGAGGGCATCGGGGGGGAGCTCACAGCCTGCCTCCTCCCCAAGGATCGGGGGGGGGAGCTCGCAGCCTGACTCCTCCCCCAGGTGCCCCTGTGGGAGCAGCCTCTTGCCCCTGACACCCAGGAGCCTCCCAGCTGCCACCGTCTGTGCAGGAGGACGAGTCATTTTCCGTGTGGACAGGGGGCGTGGAGGCCAGGTAACTGGGCTGCAGCAGCCCTCACGGCTGTCAATAAACTGTTGTTGAATTCACACAACCAAGGCTGCGAGGGGTGCGTGTGACGTCCCGGTGGGTGCCGGCAGAGACGCTCCCTCCACGTGGTCCAAGCAGATGGACACACACCAAATGAGTCCTTGGTGAGATGCCCTGTGGTCCATGCGGAAGCCCCACCTGGCCCCCGCCTGGGTGCTGGAGGGCACTGTCCACTGGGCTGAGCTGAGGCCAGGAGTAGGCGGGCTGGTGAGAGGCTGGAGGGGGAGAGCACGAGGGGCCTCGATGTCCAGTTGCAAAGGCACCTGGGCCTTCCGTCCTTGACTCACAGTTGACGGAAGGGCCTCTTTCTGGGCTCTGTCAGGACCGGAGGGTAGTTCGTACTACCCGCCCTGCCTTCTTTTGGCCACGCTGCATGGCAGGTGGGATCTTAGTTCCCCGACCAGGGATCAAACCTGGGCCCCCTGCAGTGGAAGTGCGGAGTCTTAACCACTGGACCGCCAGGGAAGTCCCTTTCCCCCCTTTTAAGGAAGGTCAGGCGGGGCTGTGGGGTGGGAAGAAGACCCCTCTGTGTCTTCTCTGTGCTCCCCTTTCACCTGAGAGGGCCAGACCTCCCCAGCACAAGACCGCCGAGTCCCACTTGGAGGGTTGGGACCGCGTGTCTCTTCCACGGCCCTGAATCCCCAGCGACCCACCAGCAATGGCGCTCTCTCACCTACATCCATGGACTCTTACCTGGGCCGAGGGAGCAGGGGGTCCCACCCCTGTGCTCCTACCCCACCTGTCTCTGCAGGAGAGGCAGTTCGCGTCCCTGTTTCTGTGATGGGCCCTGGACTATGAATGTCTCATTAACATGTCACCATAGGCCTTGGAGAAAACTGGTCCGATTGGAAAATAAACTAAATGACATGATCAAATGCTGAGCAAATCGGTCAGACTCACGCGGGAGAGGTGTAGACACACTGGATGCTTAACTGTCCCCTTCACGAGAAGCCTGAGCAAGCACTTGAATGTGGTTTCATACACAAGACGGTTATCACGAATTTCCCCTTTGGGAGGAGAGTCGACAAACACTTCAGAGTTTGTAGCAAAATGAAGACCCAACAGCACTCACCGCCTGGCACAGGATAGGGTACGTGGTGCGGTTGATGCCACCAGCAAACACGGAGAAGGTCAGGGCCGCGTGGAAGCAGAAGTTCAGGAGCGTGTGCCGGCCTTTCCGGCTGATCCGGATGGCGCTGCAGGAACGGAGATTTCAGGTCAGGAACTGGCCTCTCAGGGCAGAGCGTAGAAGTGAACCCTTTTCTCTAAATGCCACGTCCCGTCCACGCGGGGAATGGGCTGAAGACCTCAGAGCAGGACGAAGACGGGCAGGGAAAAGCACACCAGAGAGACCAGGTCGGGGAAAGATGGATGGACACGCTGAATCCACCTTAGCATGTGGCCTTGGGTGGTTTGTTGGAAAATTGCCCTGGAATACTGTGACTGGGAGGTCTCTGGTCATTGGACAGACGAGGACCTTGAGGCCCTGGGACGCTATGATTTGTCCAATGTCCCAGAGGGAGGATGGGGAAGAAACCCAGTCCCACCTCCTGGTTCCCCAGACAGAGTTCTTCCCTCTCTGAGCAGAGGCTGTACCTTAGGAGGAGGCTGTGATTGACTGTCTCTGACATGATCCCCTGTAGCCGGACCTGTACCTGGATAGGACGCTGCCTGTGGCTGTGAACATACCCATGACCAGTCCCCAGCCCTGGCGATGGACAAAATGAAATTTCTTAGCCTATGCCTGCAGCTGTGATTATGACCACAGCTTCTCTGTGGCCTTGAACACACCCAGGCCTCTACCTATGACCATGGCCTTGGACACGCTCAAGCCTCTACCTGTGACCCTGGCCTTGGACATGCCCAAGCCTCTACCTATGACCCTGGCCTTGGACACACCCAAGCCTCTTCCCCTGACCCTGGCCTTGGACACGCCCAAGCCTCTACCTATGACCCTGGCCTTGGACACGCCCAAGCCTCTACCTATGACCCTGGCCTTGGACACGCCCAAGCCTCTTCCCATGACCGTGGTTATGACTGTGGCCTGGGCTTTGCCCATGACTTTGATTGTGGACTTGACCCTGATGGTGGCCGGGACCCCTCCTCACATTACCCAGCGCATCTTCAAGTGATGCCCAGCCCCTCCAGGCAGACGTGGCCAGGAAACCAGCTCTGTAGGAAACCAGCTGGACTCCCCTGTAGATGAAAAGCAGAGGGCAAGGCTGCTCGAAGTTTCTGCAGCTACTCTAACTTCCTCAGGCCATGGGCTGTAGGGGTCCCCGAACGGACACGGTGCCATTGGAGAAAGAGCGCGTGTCACCTGAATTGATGAGCACGGGGGGGCCCGGGGTGGAAGGCAAGGGTGTCGCCCAGCACTTGGCCACCCTCGGCTGCCAGCACCGTCTGGGCACTGGGCAGCCTCAAGCTGGCCGGCTGCCTGTGAAGCACCTTCCTGGACTCCTTGCTACGTGAGGGCAGGAGAGAGCTTGCCCTCGAAGGCGAGGGGCAGAGCGGGCCTTACCTCTGGTGCACGACGTAGGTGATGGCGGAGGCCAGCAGACACAGCAGCATGACGGCAGTGCAGGCGTATACCACGGGGTGCAGGAACTCCCCTGGGGACTGGGGCAGGGACAGGACAGTCCTCAAATCCTGGAAAGGACACAGAGCACACCCGTGTGACCAAGGTGGCCGGGCTGTCCCCAGGCTCAGCCTCCGCCCGGCGAGGGGCTGGAAGCATTTCCTGGATCGGGTGGAGGTTCACAGGTCTCAGCAGAAATGGTCGGCCTGGGGCAGGGGAAGGTCCCCAACCTGTGGAGTGCTCAGGGCAGGCGGCGTGTGGCCTCGTGGGCCCCCCACCAGCTGCGGGCGCCTCTGGGGGCTCTGACGGCCAGCTCCCTGAGGGCAGCCTCCTGCTGTGCTGCCTGTTGGCCTCCAGACTCCTCGCCCTCCCGGGGGGCTGGTGGACCACCCGGCTCCTGCTTCTGTCAAATGCCCTTGTATGACGGCACACTTGCCCCCATGAGGCTCGTGTCAGATTACCCCCAAGTCCACTCCGGGCCTCACACCCACTGCAATGCTGCTTTGAGTGGTCTCCCAGGAGAATTTGTATCATTTCAGTAAGTCTGCCCAGAGGTGACTCAGGTCAGTGGGGGAAGAGCAGCAGGTGTGAACAGGCTCGAGAACCCCAGGTGTACAACCTTCACTGTTTGTCACAGCCCAGGTAAAGGGCTGAAGGTCAGGGTTCAAAGGATATCCATTTTCCCTGGAGGATGTAACACTGAGGGCAGAATGCCCCGGCTGGACATTCAGAGCTGAGGGAGGTTCTGTCTTTTTATTCACCAGGTAAGCGAGGCTTGCTGCGTCAGGCGCTGGGGCTCTGAGGCCAACCCCCGACACAGCGCCACAAGTGCCCTGCGTCGGAGCTGCGTTCCCAGGGCGAGGCCGGGCACACCCGCCAGGGGCACCCCCAGGGCCGGTGGAGGACCCAGAGGGGCTTGGGGCACACCAGGCTGGGAGGTAGGGGCTAGAGCCTACGGCACCCCCCTCTGACCTCCGACCCTCTGCCCGCACCGAGCCCTGCTCTGGACGCTTCGTGTGGTACAAGTCGTCGAGTCACACGAGAAACCCGCTGTGGACTGAGCTGTCCCCACCATCCGGAGGGGATGGCTTTTAGGGATGTGGCTCAGGTAGGGTAGGGTTCTCGGGTGGTCCTGACCAAAGGGACCAGAGTCCCTGTAAGAAGGGGCCGGCACCAGCACACGGCGGGAGGGGCCCTCTACCCAGCAAGGAGAGGCCTCAGGAGAAGCCAACCTGCAGGCGCCTGGACCTTGGACGTCCAGCCTCCTGCTCTGTGGGACTTTGTCACGGCCGCCCCAGGGGACAAGCTGAGCCGGGCTCTGGTTCCCACTGCTCAGGTCAGAGGGTGGAGCCCTTGCTCGATGCCCCAGCTTGAATGCCCTACTCTGCTCCCACGGCCCTGGGGGACACGCTGGGCTCTGGGGAGCAGGCTGGGGTCAGTGCCCACAGGCTGAGCTGGGCCTGTGGAGGGCTGCCTGGTGTCCCTGTGGGACCACCTGAGCTGCTCCTGCTGTGACCACGGGGCTGGTGGTCAGAGCTAGGGGTCTGCCGTCGTGCTGGTCCCATTCCCGCAGACCACAGGGGCGTCCATGGCAGACGCCCCCGCCCCAGGCCCAGAGCAGCTCCAACTGGTGCCTCCCTGGGCTGTGAGGACAGCAGAGGTGGCTGGCGGCTCCTCCAGGATGGAGTCGTGGGGAGCAGAGAGGCACCCCGAGAAGGCCTTGGCCTGTCACGGCGGGAGTCAGGAAGCCAGCGCGTCCGGGCTCAGGTGGCTTCTCTCCTCGTGGACATTCCTGGAGGCCCGGCCAGCCAGAGGACGTGCTCAGAGGAGCCACCCTGGGCCCAGCTGGGGCCTCTGCACCCCGACTTTGCTCCGACTCAGGGACTTTGGTGAGGAGGTCGCTGTTGTCATGGCAACAGCTAATTGAATTTGGTCACCCGGGAAGAGGCACTGAGTGACCTGGATGCCAAGGGGGCCTCAGCGTCTGGCTGCCCAGGGGCCCCGCTGCCCAGGGAAGCCAGAAATAGCGCCCTGCCCAGAAGAAGCAGGCGGTCAGGGAAGGGCGCCGTGCTGCTTGGCAGACTGCAGGCCGGACACCGCGGCTGCCCTCGTGCTGCAGTCCTGACCGTCCACGGGCCAGGAAGCCTGAAGCGCGGGTGTAGACGTGCACGGAACACCAACAGCTCCCGTCTGGACACCCAGGCTGTCAGCAGGAGGCACGTTGCACCCACAGCCCAAATCCACGGAATCACGAGCTCAGGAGGAAAGGCAGCCAACGGACGCCAGCCTCGAGGTGACTGGGACGCAGAGGCTGCACGTCCCCAGGGGAGACCTGGAGGCCCCGCCCACTCAAGATGCCTGGGAAGGCTCGGCACAGGGGAGGGTCTGTGGCCAGATCCTGGCAGGGCTCCCACCACACCCAGGGGAGCACGAAGGCTGCTGGGCCCTCTGTCCTGCAGCCAGGAGCCTCCATCTGGGCGAGGATGGGCCTCTGTGACGAGGGGCAGGATGGTCTCCTGGTGGAGAATAGATGTTTCACGAGAGAGAGAGAGCAGCCTGCCGTTCTTGCTTCCCGGGGGCGTCCAGCTCCCACTAGCGTCCCGCCTGCCAGGGGCCCTAGCGTCCTGCCTCCC